CAGATGTCCTTGATGAGATTAGTGAACGACCGAGTATCAAACCAGGCATCAAGCCTCTTGGAGCCCTTGGAATTGGAGGAGACAACATTCAGAAAGTTTTCAATGGCTTTGCTCCGATAGAATCCGTCTGCGTTTGCTTGGTATGTGGGCCGGAGGAGCTCGATCACCAGGTCCATCGGGGTCATTCCCATGCTTGATAGGGTGGCTACAACAGACAGGATCTTGTTCTGGATGGGGATCAGCTCAGGAGGATACGTCCAACTCAATGCGCAAGGGATAGGTTGCGCAACGGGAGGCGGCGCAGCATTCAAGATAGCCATTGTACTAGAGAGTAAACTGGATCGAAATCAGGCGCAAACGGCGACGAGAGCTTGGTGGAAGAGTCTGAGAACAATACGAGAGCAAGGGAGGCTGGAGGGAGGACGAGAGCGACGCGACGGTGCTGGGTGGTAAAGCACAAGCGGTGAGTAAGCGTGATCGAGTAAGCGGCCGCGATCGGCATCACCGGGATTTCAAACTCCGTTGGCAGCCCAAGACCTGTCAACGAGATATACCAGTCTGTAAACACCGAAAGCGCTTGCCGCATTTTTCGGAAATTGTTTACAGACTGGTTACGAGTCTATTTTGCTGAACTTGTTGATGTGGAAATACTCCAGCTTGGAGCTGGTATTATGCAGCATAGAAATTGGAAGGAAACTATGTAGTCTACTACATACTGAGAGACAAATAGTAGATGTGCAAAAACCCGCGGGTACACAGGTCGGGTATGCGGGTTGAGCGCGGGTCTGAAATCACGACCCGTACCCGTACCCGCCCTCAGCCGCGGGTACAAACCCGCTGGGTGAACCCGCGACCCGTGTCTATCCTTAGGAACCCGCGCTGTCCATGCGCGCTACCGGCGTCGGTGGCACCGTAGAGCTCGAGCTCGCCGCCGAAGCAGGCGAGACCGTCGCCGTCCGCGTGCGCTTCACCCCCCTCCACCCACCCGTTTCGTCGTCAGCCGCCTTGCGCTTCCTTGTAACCTGCACCGGGGCGCGCGCGCGGACGGTGGCGCAGCAGCTACCTCGCGCACGCCCCAGATTCACGGCCGACGTCGGCGTCGCGCCGTTCTCACCCCCGCCGGCGTGGCAGACGTTTCGGCGGAGCAACGTTTGCGCCGGGAAAGAGGGCGGCGGAATCTGACGTTGCAAAAAGAGGACGAGACGGAGTCTGGAAGTAACGGGTTTAGTTTTAACATTCATAAAAAAAGACCTCATTGTGCGGGAGTCATACAAAGGTAAATACTAGAGGTAGGGTGATGGTTGGACCATCGAGGGGTAGGGTCTATATACGTCAAGGGTAAAATATTCCGGGTAGGTACCAGTAGCATAAGCCTGTAACATTGATGATTTTGTGAGAGGAATGAACTAGTTTCGCTTGGGAGGGGAAACGAAAGCGCATGGGTCGGGCCTTCGACATACCGGCATGGATGGCGGATCTTTATACCGAAGGGAGGGCGGTGCGCACCGCATTTGGACAGAATCACGGAAGCTCCCGTTCGAAAGGCTGTAAACTGACAGGTTATCAATCAAAGTAGTATTTGCGATGTTCTTGTGCTGCTCAGGAGCAGTGGCACTGCCAGAGAAAACAGACGTAATTCTTAAACTACAAATATTCAATCAATGGTACCTAATGTTTAGATAGTAAATTCGCGATAGAGAAGCTACCTTCAGGCAGGAACGACAGGCGCTCCCGAGCGTGTTTAGCGAACAGCACATCGGAGGCCTTATTATATTTATTCTCGTCGTAATTCCCCTGCACCAGCCCATTCGCTCGAAAAGCAGCCCATGCGACCTGCCTCGCCAACGTGTGGACGTTCATGGCGGGGGATGCGCTCAGAATAAGGAAATACTTGACTGGAAACCTTTTATGATAGAAGAACGAGACCTCCTTCCGGCCGCCTTCGCCTCGGGTATTATTGTAGGCTGGGGACAGTAACCCAGTCATTTCTTCGGCTGGGCCCTGACCACCGCCATATAGGATGTTGACCGCGGAGAGCATAACCTCCCATGTCCCCCGTCCAGCTGGTGCACTCTCAACAGGCTGAAACGGCGCCTCGAACTTCCGGAACCGTATCTGGTCAGTCACGGTCCCAAAGGATTCAACCTTGAGCGGTGGATCGGTTTCGGAACGCGTGACGACGGCAAAAAGATCTGGACGCGCTCGGAGTTCGCGCAGGAATGCCAACGAGAAGTCGTCTGGTTCGTTTCGGATGGCACCAAACATATAAGCGCGCGTTTCCATTTCGACCCACGTAATGCAGCCCGGTGTTTTTGCGGGAAGTGTGCTGGGGACTGGGCCGGAGTGTTTGGCTTTGAATTCCTTAGCCTCTTGGATGCCGTTTACCAAATCTGCTAGGACGACACCACAGAGACTCAGATGCACCCGCGTTGCTTGAGAATCTCGAAGCCCGTCCTTTACCCCAAAGGATTTAGTGCACCATTTTGGTGCAGGGCTCATCCCGAAGGCGCTGAACGAGAGGAACCTGTGCAACTCGTCGAAGTTGGAGCAGAGGCGGACGTAGCGATTTTCGGTGTTCTGCTCCGGCATGTCTGCGCTCAGTATATTCTAAGATATTTCTGTATTAGAAGCCGCCGCAAAAACACAAGACCATGGTTTTGCACTTACATACCAGACCTTGTTCGAGGCAGGAGTCTCACGAGAGTTGTTGTAAATCCAGCCATTCAAAATTTTAAAGCGGTTTTCTATAACGACATTCGTTTTAAATTTGTTATCTGCGACCCAAGGACGCGTTGGCTCACTGATATTTCCCATACTGGCGGCGGCATCGGGGTTACCCTTCATTGCAACCGCTTCGGTCCAGGAGTCCTTCCACCATCTCAACCCGATGTGTAGCCGTTTCTTAAGCATCGATCCAATTCGGAGCATGTCGTCGATGCCGAAATCGTCGTCCATGATAAAATCTTTGAGCGACACTTTGTCCCTGGATCTGGCCAACAGCTGTGGATTGTGGAAGATAATCCGACGGAGATATTGCAGCCACGCGTTGGTATTGAGACTAATATTGTTTCGCAACTCCCCGATTTCTTCCGACTTTCCTTCGCTCTGGAAACGATTTAACCAGAAGGTTTCTGGGTCCAGAAATATCTCAAAGAATTGAAGTATCTTCTCCCGTTCACTTTACCTCCGAATCAGTTATCAATCGATTCAGAGTGGTGAACAGACTCACAATCTCATTCTCAAGGCGATGAGATCATCTTGCTCGTTCAAGGCGGCATGCTCCCGCACTCGGTCCTCCTTCGAGCGGATATACGAGAACAAATCCTGATCTGGCTGGATACCATCATCCTCGTCGAGGTCTTCGTGCTCAAAAGGCGCCTTTTGAAACTCCTCAACCCAATCTTTGGCCGGATGATCCTGTAGATGAAGAGCCATCGCTCGCGCCTCAAGTGCGTCCCTGATCTCGACTCCATGTGTCATTTGCTTTACGAGGATGTTCAGACGCATCTTATGACCGGAATCCACTAGTGGCCGTGAGTTCAAGTCAACTATGAACGGAATTTGCGCATGTACCCTTCATGAAGAACCGCCCGTGGTGTATCTCTCGCCCAGCCCGCTCTTCACGAATCGCATTCACGTATTTCTTCATCATTCTCGCCTTCTCCAAGATGGTGGAGACGGATGTGTAGCCCAGGATATCTTCCTTGGTGGGGATCAACGAGCTGGAAAACGTATTGTCGACAAATTTCTGAGCCTCCTTGTATCGCTCGGTCATGGCCCGGTACTGCTTGTGGTGAACGCGACAGCGCGCGATGGGATATCCGTCAGTCGGAGGCTCAGGGCACCGCGTCATTTCGTCTTCTAAGAGAGTAAGGCATTGTTGTGTAGGGACACGGCGGCTGTCTGGGGTCGAGCTCTGAGGACGATTCTTCCGAGGCATGGTGGGTCGAAAAATCAAGAGGTGGGCGGAACGCAAGTCTTTGACACTCACCTCTGTAACCGCTGGACCCCGGATACCGAGGGGGGGAGAGTAGCATCAGTCACTCGGCAAGCCATGCCATCGGTCATGGGGCAGGCAATGTTGATGCGCACACACTATATTGATCCAGTGCCAAAACAGGACGCTAGTTACAGTGAGATTTACCTAGTGTTCCTGTATTCTATACAAAATCTGAAGATGCCAAACGATGAAGAGAGGATATATATGGGGGGGCTCTCTCTGAAATGCAATGATTTTGCTCAAATTTGAAGGATCTATTTGCAACCCCAGGAAAAAGACAACCAAACCGCATTTGATGCCAAGGAAGGACCCCGGAGACCAGTTTGGGGGGAGGGGTCCTTCGACAGGACGGTGTTCGGGATTTCCATCCCGGAATCCGCCCACCTCTTGCAAAAAATTGGTCATTCCAAGGCCAGATTTTGCCGGACTGGAGACCGATTAAAACCGACCATGCCAAGTTCCGAAACCCTGGTCAACTAGGGGCAGTTTCCGGCAAAGTCCGGTCCTTGGAAGGACCAAAAGTGCGTGCTTGTGCCAAACTTGTGCAACGTGGAGTCCCACGTCACGCAAAGTTGACAGCGACTCGGATTTCGGTACGTAAGCCGGTCTCCTTCCAAAAGGGGAAAGCAACTACTCACGACTGTACGCCACACTCATCTCCGTCCTTTGCACGAGCTCTTCCCCTTCTTTGTAGTGCTGGGTTTAAAATGATTTCGGCCTGGTATAATACAAGGCCATGCAGCGACCCCAATGTCTTGAAGGTATGGGCGGGATTATGTCAGCTCCGCCGGCTTGCCTCCGCCCACCGTTCCTGTCGGCTTACTTCCAAGTGTTCTCGGCTACTACTTTGCTACTACTTGTTTGTGTGATTAGCTGCCATTATGTATACCTGCGCTCCAACTCGGGCTCTAAGTGTTGCTGTTCCTCAGGCTTCTCACTAATACCCCAAATATTCACGCACCACCCCAACTCCAAGTCCCAATCTATCTATATGCACAAGGACCTAATAGCGAAATTGGTATCGCATCCACTACCGTTTAAAAAGAAACGAAAAATGCAGCAGTTTCTGTGGAAGTCCCTCGTTCGAATCGAGGTTAGGTCTTAGACTCATGGCTGCTAGCACTTTTTTTGATTCACCGGCACAAAAAGGCCTGAAATACTTTCGCAGCAAACCAGGGCTCAGAATTACAGGAACAAGACCTAATAGCGAAGCCGGCCCATCCACCGCACCTATGCACTGTAAATACACTGTGTTCCCACGAAGTCCCGAGGCCAAGTAAGTCATTACCGAAATCTCCGATTTTCTTCCCCCATGCAACAAGCCCGAGACAATCACGCACCAACCCGAGTTCCAAATGATACGAACAAGACCTAATGGCGAAATTGGCATCGCGTCCACTGCACTTAGACTTGCACAAGCATATGCCGAGTCAAAGTGCAAGTCCCTTGTTCAAACCGAGGTTAGGTTGTACTCATCCTCGAAGTATTTTTTCTTTTCTTTTTCATTCAACCCACACACAAAAATCTAAAAACAATTACACACGTTTTCAGGGGCAGGTAAGGAGAGGAAGACCTAATAGCGAAATTGGCACCCTCTGCTTCGTTTCGACTCGATGTTAGGTCATGGCCGATGTCTTCCGTACTTTTTTGTCACCCCATACAACAAGCCCGAAATAATGACACACCAGATCAAGGACAGGTAAAGGGAGGAAGACCTAATAGCGAAATTAGCATAGCATCCACTGGCACTGCGAAATAATGGTTCTGCGGAAGTCCCTTGTTCGAATCGAGGATAGGTCGTGTGAATGTATTTCACAACGTCCTTTTTTCTTCTCCCTCAGATATTCCCACTCATTGAGGTTTAACTTAGCAGGGTCACATGTAGAAGTCCCAGCATTTCTTCCTCTTCTCCCTCATAATTTTGCGGTATACGAGGATTTGATGAGGCTTAAAGGGAGGGTAGGAAGACCTAATAGCGAAATTGGCATCGCATCCACTGCACCTGTCTCGGCGTGCCTGGATCATTTCGGTGGAAGTCCCTCGTTCGAGCCGAGGTTAGGTTGTCCGGGATTCCCGCCATTTTTTTCCTATTATGCAACATATAAAGCCCAAGGCAATTACATATCTCTGCAAGGGCAGGTAAAAGGGAGGAAGACCTAATAGTGAAATTGGTATCGCATCCACCTCAGTTATTGTTGGACAAGAGGTGAAGTGGAAGGCTGAGGTTAGGTCATGTCCCATAACCGTGTTTTTTTATCCAAAAATAATTTCGCACTACTTTTGGTTCAACCAGAAGGGAACAAGACCTAATAGCGAAATCGCCATCGCATCCACTCCGCATTCGTGCGTAATACTGTTACCGCCATTGCATTATGTGGAAGTCCCTCGTTCGAATCGAGGTTAGGTTCTATGCCAGCCACCGACCTTTTTTTATCCTCCCACCAAGTGCTAGAGGAAAATACAGCAGCAAACCAGGTTCAGAATTGCACCAGGAAGACCTAATAGCGAAATTGGCATCCTTAGAGAAAACTATTAATGGCCTTCATGTGGAAGTCCCTCGTTGGAATCGAGGTTAGGTCATGGTAGTGTTCCGACATCCCTTTTTAATTCAACCCACGCAAACTGCGAAATAATTCCGCACTACTTTAGGTTCAATTAATGAGTAGCAAGACCTAATAGCGAAATCGGCATTGCGTCCACTCCAATTAGCCCGTGAATATTTCGTCATGTGGAAGGCCCTAATTCTAATCGAGGTTAGGTCATGATCATTTGCTGCGGTTTTTTTTTTTTTTACTCAGCACAAAAATAATTTCATACCAAGTGGAGGTTCAGAAATAGAACAACAAGACTTAATAGCGAAATTTGGTTTTGCATCCACTGCACTTGATGTAAACGCTATCATTGTCTTGTGGAAGTCCCTCGTTCGAATGGATGTCATGACCAGTGCCTCTTAAAGTTTTTGTTAAAAGAAATAATCTCCCAATAAGTGAATGTTCAAATTCAGATGCGGAATTGGCATCGCATGCACTGCCATTGAAGTATGACGGATTTGTTTCATGTGGAAGTCCCTCGTTTGAACCGAGGTTAGGTCAATATGTGTTTAGCAAAGTTTTTTTATTCTTCTTCCTCATAATTTTGCGGTATACGAGGGTTGTAAATGGAGAGCAGGAAGACCTAATAGAAAAATCGGTATCGTGTCCATTGTACCTGGCCCAGGTGTGAATCACAAAGTACCATTGATATGAAAGTCTGTTCGAGTCATGGTTAGGTCGTAGAGTTGACAACGCTCTTTTTATCTTTTTTCTTACACAAAAAAATGCAGTATGAACTGCAGTGTACAATTATAGCGAGAACACCTAATGGCGAAGTCAGCATCGCGTCCACACCTTTTGGGTCCTTCGAATGAATGTTGTGTGGAAGTCCCTCTTCGAGGGGAGGTGAGGTCATGGGTATTTGCCATGTGCTTTTTTTTACCCCACTCCCGAAGTGCGAAATAAGTTCGCACTGTAGTTTAGCTTCAGCTGGATTGGAGGGAGGACTTAATAGCAAGCCGGCATCGCGTCTACTGCGCTTGAGGCAACACAGCAATTTTTTATGTCGTTTGACTCGAGGTTAGGTTGTGAGGGTGGATCCGTGCTGATTTTTTGCCCCGGTGGAAGCGTTTGTAATTGTGCAGTACTCCAGATTCAGAATTAGAGAAACAATAGCAAAATCTGGCATCGCGTCCACTGCCGGTGAAAGAATCCTTCATGAGACTACTTTTTGTTCTTGCAGCTCACTCGAAATTTCGCAGGAAGCTGAGTTGAAGAGATATGGGAGGAAGACATAATAGTGAAATTGGCATCGCGTCCACTGCACCTATTTCCACGGTTGGTACCATTTCGGCCTCTTTGGAACCGAGGTGAGGTCATTGCCTCTTCCCCTTCGTTTTTCACCCTCACAGAAGTGCCCATTGTTTTTCAGTATGCCGGTGCGAAAATATGGGAGGGATGACCTAATAGCACGCTCTGGTTTAAAAAATAGATTGGAGGTTCTGCTGTCGTAATTTCCTTTTCATTCAACCTTCCTTTTCATTCAACCCGCACAAAGAAAGCCTGAAACAATCACATTTTCCAAGGGCAGGAAACCTATGGAGAATTCTGGTATAATGTCCACGGGCGTGAGCTAGTACTGATGTGGTTTGTAGAAGTCCCTCGTTCAAACCGAGATTAGGATCTCATCCTTTCATTTCAATTTCTTCCCACCCACTCGCAAATACTTATCTTTTCTCAGGATTTGACAATCTGGCAGGTAGTGCGAAATATTCGAGGGACGAACTACTGGTGAAACTTCCACGTCCATGCTGAATTCTTCTCATCCAAATGAGATGTGGGTGGAAGCTCCCCATTTGATTCAGGTAGGTCACAACGAGGGAAAGAAGCAAGCTGTATACAGAACTCAGAAGCAAAAGATGCCCAGAGAAAAAAGAATGCAGAGCTGGAATGTCCATGGGTGTCGCCAGAAGGCATCACAAGAAATGCGGCCAGTAACAAGCCAGTAAACAAAATCTTCGCCAGAAGCGGCTCCGCGGTATGGCTCCCGTAAATCCGATCTTGCGACCTCACGGCGTCCGCAAAGAATGCGCGCGAAAAAACCGGGATGGGCTCTAGTTTAACAAATACGATGAGGCTCTGGAATAGGGGCTCGGAGGCCGCGTTGTTTGGATCGAGGATGGGAACCAAACTGATATGCAGCACGTGGGAACTGCATCGCCTTCTGCCACTCTCTCTTGTGCCAGTTTCAATTCTATTTGTGTGCAACAAATAAATCCGCGGGACGAGCTCACGGGCTAAAAATTGAGCATCCCTATTCACACGGAGGTTAGATCCTGCTTGGCCTTGTTCCAGCCCAGCTTTTTTGTTCAACCCAACTACCACTTTATGTTACCTTATTTTTGAGGGCAAATCATCCCTGCCTGTAAAAAAGAAAAACGTCCAGGGGGAGAGGACATATATGAGTTTATTACAACTCTGTATTCTTTTTCTCCGGGAGTTCTTTACCTAATAATACTTGCCAAGTTCATGCCGTCTTGAGTCTCGAACTGGGTCCTGTATCCGTCTTACTTCTTTCACACCTGTGTGCTCTGGATGTCCACCAAAATGGATCGCGCATCCAGACACTGAACAATGTGCCAGTGTGTCGCCAGAAAGCATCCCAAAAATGTGACCTGGAGAAAAAAATCTTCGCCAGAAATAAACGGTTCCGCTGGTCATCATGCCAACTAATGTGGCGCGTTGCAATGTCATTACGGCGCCAGGAAATAAAGTGCCTGAGACCCACCATGAGCTCGAGTTTCACAAGGGTGCAGAAGCTTTGAAATACGAACATGGGTTGTGTTAAATTCCGAGTAATTCAAACATGTCGTAAAACTGTTTTCTCATCAATTGAACTTCAGGCTAATGTCAAGGTCGACGTCATGTATGAACAGTTTGCCTGTTGTAATGCCAGAAAGCATCCCAAGAAATGGGGCCAGTAAAAAAACAAATCTTCGCCAGAAACGGTTCCGGCGGTAAATGCGGGCCGTGGCTCGATTGATGCCATAACCACACCATACAGAAGTGCATCGCATTTGCCACTCTGTCTAGCGCCACGACCTGCTGAAGAACAAGAACAGGTAGGAGCTCAATTAGTTGCCCTACTGGTCTCTAAGCTCTTTGCAGGACCTCCAATACTCATGACCGACCCTAATCATCTTGACTCTCCGCTCTCTGACACGACGTGAAGCCGGAATCGAAGCGCTTCAAACGGGAGTACTGGATCCCGGTTCTGTGGAAGTCCCTTGTTCAAGTCGAGGTTAGGTCATGTTTTGGTCCCCTTTCATTTTTTTCACCCCACAAGAAGACTGGAATAATCTCACACGTTTATAGGAACAGACCTAATAGCAAAAATAGTATCGTATCCACTGCATTTTGGCCAATCTTGTCAAATACCGAAGTCCCTCGTCGTATCCTCAAAGTCTTTTTTCATTCTTTTTCATTCAACCCACACACAAAAATCTAAAAACAACCACGCACCTATTCAGGGGCAGGTAAAGGGAGGAAAGACCTAATAGCGAAATTGAAATCGCATCCATTGCACCTGGCCCGATGTAGTCAGCATTATGTGGAAATCCCTTGTTCGAATCAAGGTTAGGTCATGTTGGACTCCTAACTTTTTTTTTTATTCGCCCCTATTCCACACCCTCCACCGCCGCCTGCTCCGCGCCCGCCCCACCCTCGTAGTGCGTTTCCACTGGGTTCCGGCGCATGTCGGGATCGCAGGGAACGAAGCCGTCGACGCGCGCGCGAAGGAGGCGGCCCAAGGTGCCTCCTCCGCCCTCGCGTCGAGGATCATCCCCTTCGAGGCCCCCCTCCCGACGAGCAGGGCAGCGGCGATGGATGCGGGCAACAAAGCGTTCAAGGCGCGATGGCTGGCGGAATGGTCAAAGTCC